GGCTCCGGAAACTCCTTGATCGACGGCTGCATCTCGCCGCCGGCCGCCGCCGGCTTGAGAGCCCACTCGTCGATGCCCTGCGCGTGACGTACACTGTGGTCGACCACAGTGTGTGCACGGGATGGTGCTGGGAGGCGCTCGCCGCTGGGGCGGGCTCCTCCGGAAACTTCTTGATCGACGGCAGCGTCTCGCCGCAAACCGCTGCCTGCTTGAGAGCCATGTCGGTCTTGATGACCGGCTTGAGCGCCGGGTCGTTCTTGATGACGCCGTTGGGGACCGTCGGTGGGTCGGTCGGGCGCGCGAGCTTGGACCAGAAAACGAACATGGCCTTGGCCTTGTCCGAGTCGACCGGGCCCGCGTCAGGCGCCTTTTCCGCGGCCGGGTCCTTCTTGAGGACGTCCTCCGTGCCACACTTTGCCACGGGGATGTCCTTGACGTCCTTGACGCCGCACGCCTGTGGGCGAGGGAAAGTACGCACACGCTTTCAGAGACGGGAGAGGGATGATAATGCGGCCGGGCTCGCTCTTGGGCGGGCTGCCGACGGCCTTGGCGCCGGCCGGATCGTCGACGGTGAACGTAAGGCGGGACGCCTCGGGCACGGCGTCGAGCGAAACGCCCGTCGAAACGCCCGCAAAGTGGACGCCGGCGAGCGAGCCGGCGGGCTCGCCCTCGGACGGGACGTTGCCAGTGCCGGCACTGGCGGTGCAGGTGCCGCCAGTGCCGGTGTCGATGCCATCCTTGAGCGAGACGGGCTCGGAGGGGATGCCGACGGCGTTACCTCCGCCAGAGTCGATGACGGCCATGTTGTCCGCCAGAGACGCCTGTCAGCCACAGAACGCGAGAGGGTCGTCTTGCAGGGAAGGCGCAGCGTTGCGTGCGTTGCAGCGGTGCGCGTGTGCTATACCCCCTCCCTCAGCCACTGCAAGTTAACGCACACCTGCTCGTCAGCAAGCGGCGGCGGAGGAGAGAGCTTGAGCACGAGCTTGTCACCGGCGGCCGGCACGAGCTCGAGTTTGAGCATGTTGATCGAATAAATTCCTGCAGAGTCAAGAAGCGATTGAAGGTGGTGTCCCCGATGGCAGGTGCAGGCCAGCGCTCGAGTGGCCCTCACGGCTGCGGACACAGAGTGGCATTCTCTAGACGCAGCAGAGATGCGAGCAGGCGGGAACTTCACTCGGCGGGGTCAATCTCAGGTCAATCTCGGCTCGTAGCAGGAAAGGCAAGCGCCTACGGGATCGCGACCATATGAAAGAGGGTTAAAAACTGCTATTGAGATGACTAAGGGGTACATCGGGGGTACATGGGGGTACATGGGGGTACATGGGGGTATGAGAAAATCTCGGGCAATCTCCAAATCTCACACATCTCCAATCCCCCACCCTCCACCTCCACCCCCACCCCCACCCCCACCCCCACCCCTACCGCCACCCCCGCCCCACCAGTACCCAAGCCTCGCCTTAGAGCCTCGGGTAAGGGAAAAGAAAATCGTGAAATCGCATCAGGTTTCGCATCTCCGCCGGAGGACTAGATGCGAGCTCTAGATGACTGACGAGTGTCGGCCAGGAGAACGCGGACGCGCCTACGGACCGCACGTCGCGGCGTGAGCGTCGAGACGAGGCCGCCGGCACGCTCTCTCGCGTCCTCGGCGCTCGGACTGGAGCCGGGCGGCGATTGGCCAGCAAGCGAGAGCGGGTCGCTCTCTTGCCAGAAGAGAGGGAGGGCGGTCGCGCGCGCGGGACAAGGGTGTGGAATGGGCAGCAGCGGACGCGTCTCGCGGCCTCCTCCATGGCAGCGGTTGTACCTGCAAGCGGGAGTAGGCAGGCGGTGCGAGGCCGAGGGGGGTGCAGCCGCTCGCGCCGCGAGCGAGGGCGCATCGCATGGTAGGGGTGGTGAGGGGGCGGCGGGTTCCGTGAGCAATAGGCGTCGCGAGGGTCTAGGTGTGCAGCTCGCGGCGGCATAGTCGGGCGCAATGCGGCGCGGCAAGCGCGAGCGGACGAGGGAAAGTGCATGGTATGCCTCGTGTGGATGTCAGGCAAAGGCGGTCGGGGGAACTATTTTCAATCAAAGAAGAGCGCCTTCAGCGCTAGCTTTTTTTTGTTCGGCACCACTCTATCGAGGTCTCGAGTAATTTTCGTTTTTATGTGGCGCTCGCGCGACCGACGTGGTCCCACCGACCGACGTACGTGGTTCCATCAAGCCTGGCTGGGCAGACGCCTCCGATCTTGGGATGGCCATCCCAAGATCGTTCCGAGACGTCACCGAGAGACGCCACCAACACCATACGATGGTGCGTGA